TGACTGAGTTGTCGACATTAATTTGTTTTTCTGTGCTTTGTGTTTTATAAAAAGATTTTACAGAAACGGTCATTTCCTTGTGTTCGTTTGTTTCATGTGAGTTCTCGTGTTCTAAATTTGTTTTCAATTGATTTTCAAAGAGACGAAGTTTTTCGACATATTGTGTGTTGTTGTAGTAAACGACACTTCCGTTCTCTTTGTCTTCTTTTTTGTAGCTTCTCAAATTCATCTTCTTGTTAGAGAACTCCGAAAATATCGAAAAGTCCATTTTCAGTACTTTAATTCCATATTTAGTCGCTAATGCGTCAAAACCAGGTATTTCAACGCCGGGAAGCAACAAAACAACCTTGTCGGCATTTGGAATTGAAGATTGAGCAAGACCAAAAGAAACAATAGTCTCGTCTTGTATTAACTTGAAGTAATTGACATCTTTAAAACCAACTGCGGTGAGCCACAAATCGCGTTTGTTGTTCGGTTTGTACTGAAATACTTTACCACAGTTTTCTTGGTAATTAAATCGAGTTGTATTAATTAATGAGTCTGTGTTTACTGGACGATTATATTTAATATTTTTAATGTTTTCTTTGTAGTGTTTTAAATCATTTGTGATGATAGAAGGTTCGACAAATTTAGTTTTTGATTCAAAAGTTTTGTTTTCTTTGTAAGAATAATAAGTTTTTGTTGCTAATAACTTAGTTCGAATATTTTTATCAATAACATTTTCTGTTTTGATTTTGTTTGTTATTTGACTGTGTTGAGTATAATAAAAAGTTTTATTCATTTCAATGTCATAACTTAATTTGGTATTTTTTGTTAGTTTTGGAAGTGTTATTAACAATGACACTGAAGAGAATACAACAAGCTGTGTCAATACAACAAATAACAAGATATTACAATTTTGCATTAATTTGGGTTTTAAAGTTTTTTATTACAAACATTTATAAGATCAAAGCTTGTTTACTAACGTGTTGAAAAATAAAGAGTTTAAAAATTCGATATAGATTAAAAGTTAAATATAAATTTGAATAATCCCGCTTTATACAGTCATGCGAAAAAGCTGTCGCGTTTGGAAAAAGCTGTCTCGGGTGGTAATGAACTATTCTAGTACTATAAACAAATGATCTGAAATAGAAAATGTTATTTGGAAATGCCGAATATTTTTCCATTCGATTTTTGTGAAATGACCCTGCAAATAAATCGAATAGAAGCTATACTGTATAGTAAGTAATTATAAATTTACTATAAAATATTTTTTCAAGACAGGTTTTTCCAAACACGACAGCTTTTTCTCATGACTGTTGATTATTTCGTTTTTATTTGTTTAGTTTGTCTCAAATATTTTAGTACAAAAATAAATTCAACCTGTTAAAATCCCGAAAATATTTTTTCAATAAAAATATTATTTGGGTATTAACATTATAGTAAATTTTATTAATTGTTCTAATTTTAATGATAAATAACAAACATTTCTTTTTTTGTCATTATTGTTCCAAAATTAATTCAATTAAAATTTTACAATAAAAAGTCAATTGATTCGATCTTTTAAAATGTTATACAATTGTTTTCTTTTACTTGTTGGTTTAATTATTACAATTAAAAATTAATATAACAAGTTGTGTTTCGTGTTTTTAAATTGCAACTTTTGAATATTAGTTTTTTAAATGTATAGGGAAATAACATGGTTAGACTTAAGTTGTATAAAAATTATTATCTTTAGTAAAAACTATCATTAAAATTTAATTAAA